CATGATCCTCGCCCTGGCCTCCATATATGGCACTCTCGCGTTCACTTCAAATGTGATTACTACTAGATACGTTCTTGATCAATGGGGTCGTCGAAAGTAAGGTCCACATCCTGCCCTCCCTGCCACTTATCTCAAGCACTCATGTCTTTCTTTCGTTCTTTCTTCTTTCTTTCTCCCTCCTATTACTCATTTGCTCTTTTGCTTGCTCTTATGCATGATTCTTAACTCATGATTCTTTCCAAATTCTCCTTGCCTTCCCGATTTCTCCAATTCCCTCGACTAAGATTTTCTTCGCACAGGATGATCCTCGCCGGCCTCTCTGGGATCATAGTAATCGAGATATACGCCGCCGTCATGCAGCGCGAGTTCCAAAACACAAACAACAAAGTTGGCAAGGGTTTTGCTGTGCTGGGAATCTACTTGTTTGTTGTGACCTATTGTGAGTCCCTTCTGGGGTCCCTCATCCCCCAGACTCCTTCTCCACCCTTCTCTCCCTATCTTCCACTTCTTGCAGCTTCTTCCTCTTGCTAACGTTTATAACACTCCCAGACGGACTTCTCAATTCAACGACATGGCTGTGTCAGTGGTAGCTTATCCTTATCTATTTGAATATAAACTGACCAGAAAAGACGGTTCGGAGGTACTCCCCATCAATTTGCGGTCCAAAGTCATGGGATTGGCGGCTGCATCGCATTTCATAGTCAATGTCGGGAGTAAGTCTTGCTTTCCTTTCACTTTCGCCTCTGAAGCAGTGAGAGATGGGGTCGGGAGGGATAAGTCGCCTGGAGTCGGAAGCTCGGCACATTCGGCAGCCACCGTGGATATCGACCAGTTGATATAGAAATGGAATGATTTGGATGCACGAGCTGACCGCGTTATCTTCAAATTCGTGCAGTTACTGAGGCCGGGCCATCGGCGTTCGCCAATATCAAAGAGGTGAGTGATCGATCAATTCTATCAGGACACCGGGAATTGGTTCTCTGGTCTTCTCCCATCCCCTATGTTTTGGACATGGAACTGATTTTTTGCTTTCACCGGGTTTAGAACTATTACTACGTCTTCGTCGGATGCTCGTTTTTCTTCCTCATTGTGGCATATTTCTACTTCCCGTAAGTCTCACAGCATTTGCATCCCCTAACCCACAGGACAATCCTAGCGCCCAGCTCGGCCTCTAGTCCTCCATCTGCTAGGTTTCTTCGCTGATCATGCTCGGGGATCTCCAGAGAAACAAAGAAGAAGACCCTCGAAGAGATTGCTGCTGCCTTTGGTGATAAGGTCGTCTTGCTGACCGAGAATGATCTTGCGGTCGAGACTGCAGTCATGGAAGACAAGGTTGGTGCTGTGCAAGTGGAAAGCACCACTACAGCACAGTCCAAGGTGTGAGACGGCTTTGGCTGCTCCCGGCGAGAAGAACCTGCCGTTACATTCACCGGAGGTTTTGATAGCCCTGAAGGGAGGGAGTTTGCAGGGACGTAATCGAGCTTTGGCCACATGTGAGGGGCTCAACACTGAAGTGGAAGCGGCACGGAGGATGTTTCGAAATTGCAAACTCTGGAGCCCGCAGACTAGGAAGGGTCTTTATGTTCAGTGGGCAAGTCGCCGACCTCCTTTTCCATCCCCTTGATTCAAGCCAACGCTGGCAGAAGTGGCAGCAGAATTCCTCCAGCCAGCCTTGCGCCAGCCTTACTACATCTACCTGCCCGACTTGGCTAGTCAACAGCCTTTCCCATCCCACTCAAGCCCACTCAGGCCCCACCTATAAACCCCACCCATCAACCCCACCCCGCTTTCAAAACTTATCGAGTCGATTTCAATAAAGATGCTCTCCTTGTCTTTCCCTACTGAAACGGGTATATCTGTGCGGTTTCCGCGTGTGCGGGAGCACTTTGTAACCCACAAAAAGCCACTTTCTGCTCCGTGATTGATCGGCGTCGTCCTGTTGCCTATTCCTATCATCGTGGAGAATGGACAGCGATTCTGCTGGGGGTACAGTTTGCGCGTAATGCACCCGGCCAGGCAGAATGCCCGGAGATAATGGTGGTAGCAACGGAAAACTTATCCATGGACGCGAAAAAGAAAAGGAAAAAGTGCAAAACTGTCAAGCAAGCCAGATTTCACTCACACTTTCTTCCTCTTCGTTGTCTTTGGTCGTCGCCCTGTTCTTCCTCCATTTCCTACCCTATCATCGCCATTTTTCTGCCGGCATGGCTGTGAGCATTCCTTTCGAAGATTTTCGCGACCTCTTCCTTGGCGTTATTGGCCTTTGCTGCTTTGAGGGCGCTTTTCCCCTGAAGATGCTGAATTAGCATCTACCCGGCACATATGAACAATTGCTCAAAGCTACAGGTTACGAACACGTTGAATTGGGTATCCGCCCCCTTTTTGGCATTTCGTCACGTCATAGTCTTGGCTTTGCCGGCCACGACTGCGTCCATCCGGTCTTCCTCTTGCTGGCTCAAGCCAGCGCGGATCGCGGGGAGGGTGAGGGTGGAAGTGGAAGGGGAGGAGAGGCCCCCGCGCCGGAAGCGGCTTCACTGCTTCAGTGGTTTCAGTGTCAAGAACTTCTTCAGGTGTCGAAATTCGATCGTGCTTCGAGCGTTGTCGGATAATCGTAAGGCGATGATAGGATGAAAGGAAAAAGAAGAAAGACAGAAGGAGGGAGGGCGGCATTTATAATTTGGAAACCGGTAAAGTACTGCAGCACGCCTGCTGGCCCGGCCTTCTCCTTTCCTGCTTCCATCCGAAGCATCAGCACCTCATGACAAAGGTTGCTGAAGGGACCAACAGAGCACACTTACAATGACATCTTGACCATCGTCTAGGTGGCTCCCGACCATGTCCCACAACATTTCGCTGGTAGTGAACACCCCACAACCAACCAGGTACGAATCAACAGCCACGCATCTGAAGTCCAGGTCTCTGACGAAAGTGCCTCTAGGGATGTCGCGTATGTCGACCACGAGGAGAAAGCTCTTGGAGAGCACTAGGTGGTCGAAACTTCTGCAATGTCCGCATCGCTAGAGCCCATGTTGGATCACGAAGAAGGAGGGAGCGCGATCACGATATCAGGCTACATCCTGACTCGTGCAGTATATCTGTTGTACGTCATACCCCATAATTGCGCCTCAGTTTGCGCACGCAACGCCTATACCAAGTCAGCCTTGTTCAGCCTCGCGCGTTTCATGTTGTATGGGGGCGAATCCTGCCAGAATACGCCTCTGGGGCCGTCCCAGGACCATATTGAGCACTTTGGTCGAGGACTTTTGGCACTGCAAAAGTGTATGTAGCTGAAGCCAGGCGCCCACAGCCTGTGCAACAAAAGAACGAGACAGACAATCAGAGACCTTTTCTGTGGTGAACACAACAATATCCTAGTTTAGGTGTCGATTTAGTAACTCCACAGCTTCACTTGGATTCAGTCGCAAAAGGTCTCCCTATATCTCAGCCTTGTCGCAGCTCCATACAGGAGAGGTAAAGCTGGAGATGCTCGTTAATCCCGTAGTATTGGGGGCATGAAAGCGGAACAGGCGTCTCGGTATACTAAGAAAGGACCCCCATACACCCTAATGAAACGGAGTGAGTTGGAATAGGAAGACCTCTGGAGTAGGGAGATATGGTGTCGAACCTGTGATCGACGGCTTCATCGGGTTTGTTTGATTCATTGGGCAAGGTCAAAGTTTTTGATGTGTGATTTTCTGGAGCGAGCGTTAGTGCGGCTACGGATAAGTAGCAGAATTGATGGTAGATCGAATAGTGTCTGCTGGATGTGGGCGCACACTCATGATGAGTGTACGATGCTGGAGAGTGGGCACTTCTGAGATCCACTTTTCGATTAGCGAGTGTACACTGACTTCGATAGTACGTTATGGATGACAAATAACGAGAGTCAGCTGCTTCTATACACCAATGGGTAATGACCGGGACCTGTGATGAGGTAGGACATGGTTCCTGGAAGCCGGGAAGTCCTCGAGTGTAGTTAGCGCTAGGCGCGCCGTTCCCGGCTCGAATCTATCCTGGGCCCGTTGTCCCAGGACAGAGGTCGCTCCAGGATGTTCCTGCTAGGTTACGGAGAATCATGGGACGCCTGCCCTAGTAGGACACCTGTCCCATATGCTCTAGCCTATAACTGGTATCCTGCAGTAGATTTCCTCCTATAACTGGTGGAATCCTGGCTGAGCGGGTCGTCCCGAGACATTCGGGCTAGGATAGGTTCAATTCTGGGACTGGACACCTAGTATTTTCAGTACCCTAGCGCATCTTCACTCCTAGTGATTGTGCCCCAGCTAGCTGTCGGTGGCGGGATATTAATCCTAGGCGCTGAAGCGTATCACTTCAATATTCAAATTACAACTCTAGTGGAGGAATCGATCGCAGTCTTTTTCAAAAGTTCCCACCTCAATTTCATGAGATTTGCCCCGCATCGGTCATGATATCTGGTCCTATCTCGTTCTGGCACCGGTGATCTCTCAATCGGCTCACGCGAGCCGGGGGGAGCACAGGGCGGCATCACCTTAAGCCGGAAGTAGGGTGAGTCGCGAGCAGTTTTTATTACTTACCTTGGCGGCGGCTCTCGTCCAAAATCCCGAGAGATATCAGTACAGGTTCGACCGTTTCAGCACGGCCGTCTCGGTACGAGAGACCTACGGTCATAATTTCACCAACAAAGATGACGAGCAATTTCGCGTCCACAGCATTCAGACTCGGATGCACCACTTGGAAAGATTCGCTGCACCGGGCAAGTACCTCGTCGAGCTATTCCTTTGGGTTCATGTATGTGCCGAAGGGAACTGGCTCCTTTCAAACAGGAGGCTGACCGACTACACAAGACTCGCTGCCCTCTGAGGTACAGTAAAAGTACCACGATGGAGTTCCTGAAAACCCACCCTCCTTCTCCCGGCGGTGGCTCCAGGCTGATGATGACTGGGACTTGTCTTTTGATGAATTGTTCTATGTGACTGGCACGATATACGGGGGGCGACGCCGGGACGACATCAGGGGCCATGAAGTCGTGGATTCGCGCCACGGTCCTTTATCCCGAGTGGCTCCAAAGACTCCAGGCAGAGTTGGACGAGGTCGTCGGGCTGCACAGAGTGCCCGAATTTAAGACCTTCCTCGTTTACCCACCGTCCGGGCGGCCATCAAGGAGACGTTGCGATGGAGTCCCGTCATTCCAGGCAGTAAGTGAAGAACTAATTCTCGAGCAACTGATTCCCGCACGGTCAGCGGAAGGTCACTCACTCACTTACTTGATTACAGATATGCCCCATCGCCTGTCTCAAGACGACAATTATTACGGATACTCTCTGCCCAAGGGAGCCGTAATCCACGGCAACCAGTAGGCCATCAACCGGGGCCAGTCTCAGTTCTCCGACCCTGAAACCTACAACCCTTCGCGGTGGCTCGAGCCGGAATCACAAAACTACAAAGAGCCGCGGGAAAATATCCTAAACCTGAAGCGCGACACTGCCTTTGGCTGGGGGAGACGCATCTGCCCGGGCCTAGAAACGGCGCAAAGCTCCTTGTCCATCATGGTCGCCACCATCGCATGGGCGGCTGACATTGCAAAGGCCAAGGATTCTAATGGCAGAGATATCGACGTTGCTGCCATCGACACGGAGAATGACTCCCTCTCTTTCCTCACGGATTTCCCTCTTTCGATGCAAGTGCGGGATGACAAGCGCCTGCAACTTTTCAAGCGGAGATTGGCAAGTCGAAGATTTCTGGTTTCACAGACATGGTCGCCGTCTACGAGTGATGTGGGGGAGCGTGGTTAGACCTTGTAGAGCACATCTAATTTGTCTGGGATCAAGTTACGATCCTCCTAGACCTAGTTCATGAGACTCGGATATGTCGAGTGCTTTCCCCCTGGTCGCCAGACGCCAGTAGTAACCCACTCACCTTTCGATATTTGATACAACCAAGTCCCGTAATCGATGGCAGGCCACAAGATCGTGGACGGAGCTGACGGAGACCGAATCAGGAACAGCTTCTCCGGAGCAGAGAGAAGGATGCCTCAAAGAGGGCATCACCCTGCGAGAAACGATCTGCCATTCGCTTGCCGAAAGACGGTCTCCAGAAAACGACTGTGCCAAAGTGTTCTCGCGCCGACCAGGAGGATCGACTAAGAGGCCGTACCGTCAGCGCCAAGAACACAAGTACTACAAGTAGTAGTTCTATCGTTTCGATTCTGGGTCCAAGCAAAGGAACTCGCTGTAGGACCTGGTTCTTTGAGACAAAGTTCAGACAATTACACAAAGTGGCCGCAACGACACTGACTCGAGACGCTATCGCAAAGAGACTTTCCGGGTTGGCCACTGAGTGCAACAAGGTTTGCTCCATGATTCTGATGCTCTTTCTGCCTTGGTTCCAAGTCTAAATTTTGGCCTCAGGATGGAAAAATGTGTCTCGGTGTACGACCACGGCAGACTTTGCCTCAAGAGAGCTTGCCACAGCAACCGTATAATCTTGTGACAGAGCTCGTGTTCAAAAACAAGGAGTTAGAACAATAATGCCATGCCCCCCTCGTGTTGATACTGTCTGTTAGTTTTGCACATTCTAACGAACCCTTCTTAGGGATCTTTACTATCTCCTCCAAGAAGATCAACTTCACAAAGAGTGAGGCAAGCCCATGACGACCTCGATCGTGGAATTGGTATTTTCTACGATGGTGAGAGAGTGAGAAGCGACGGAGGGGAAGCCCAGGGCAGAGGTATCCCCTTTCAAGAGACCAGACTGTTCTGGACCGACAAAGCGATGGGATTATGCGGCCAGAATTTGCAAGCAAGAGAGTAAGCAGACCTAGAAGAAGCTTGATGCTTGTGGAATCCTAGATGGGAAGGTAGTGATCCATTGATCCAGTCCTCATTGTTGTTCATACTATCGCATCATATACATTCTAGAGATATGTATCTGCGTTTTCTGACGCGAGACTACGCTCCTTCATCTAAGCTGGTGATTCTATCCAATCAAGGTACTATGCTGACAAGCCAGTCACGCCCGGACTACCCAATAACTCTTCGCGGCCGTAAAAGAGTGTGACTCCGTGCGTATAATGTCGTGCTCTTAGGAGCTCACGGTCTTGAAAGCGGGTTAGGTCGCGCACTCTATGCAGAGAGCATCCCGCGCAAGGCCCTGCTAGGGACATTCAGCTTGAGTTCAAGCAAAGGTAACCAATTGGTAATGCTACGCATGTATGGAACCGAACGGCACAAAAGACTCCAGGGTTGTGACTGAAGCGGAAGCTCGTGCCCGACAAAATCCTAAGTGACAGATCCGTCCCCTTCACGACGATCAAACTCAGACAAACCTATCCATCCGTTACGGAGAAGAAGGACCATTGTCCCATAACAACTCTGTTACATATCCTGAGCCCCCAGATGAGATTTCTACCCTTTTGTTTTGTGGGCTTGACCCGTTCTTGCCCCGTTGCATAGTCAGGATGGCCTCGAGTCGAGTCAAGATTCAGCTCCTCAGACTCGCTCATGTACACTATCAGCACCCGAATCTGGCTCAAGCCAAGGAATTCTTGCTCGATTTCGGGCTTGACGTGGTTGAAGAGAATGAACAGAAGATTTTCGCCCGTGGCCACGGCATAGACCCCATACTGCCATGTCGCTGAGCAGTCTCCGTCGCCGCTCGAGCGTCGATTCGTGGCCGGTGCGTTTGTCGCGCAGTCGTAACAGGAGCTTGAGAAAGCAGTGAAGTTGCTGCCCGGTGCAAATCCTGTGCGCAAGGCCGAGGGCCCCGGTGGTGGATTCGTGGTGGAAGTGCCCGATCTGAACGGACACACGATCAGGCTTCTACATGGGCAACAAGAGTATCCGGAGGGTGGACATCTCCCCAAAAGCCAATACAACACAAGCCAAGACAAAGAATGACCGGGCAAGTTTCATCGATTCAAGCATGGGCCGAGCAAGGTCCATACATAAACTGAGTCATTTTGGGTTCATGGTTCCCTCGTCCAAGTTCCTCTCGAACCGGACCTGGTACCTCAACACCTCTAACTTGCTGATCATGGACTCGGTCTTTGACAGCGAGACGGACAATGACGTGACAAGTTTCATACACATTGATCTGGGGACACGTACACCGACCACCATGTAAGTGCCAGTCGAGCCTCCATCTCCATCGGTGCAGTTCTCCTGAGCCTGAAGGCTGCCGACACAGGGGGTCTTTGTGGCCACCGAGTCTGCAAGTCCCGACCTCCCTGCACAGATACATCATTCGACCTTTGAAGTCCACGACATGAATTCTGAGAACCTCGGTCATCAATGGCTGAAGAAAAGGGCTGGACCAATTGCTAGGGTGTCAGCCGCCATTTATTGGGTAGTCAAATGTTTGACTACTGGTACAGGCCACACCAACTCTCCTGGCGGCGCTGACGATGTGACGATCTAGGTTCGACCCTTCTGGCTTCATCGTCGAACATTACACCGACGGCGACCTAATCAATTGCGATACTGCTGTGCATCGCGAGCAGGTTGCAAAGCATAGTTTGTACGTGTGGGTGGCCAATTCACCCAGAAGTTTCCCTGTTGGCAAATGTTAAGGACTTTGAAAAGACACCGGTGGTAGAGAGAGGTCTTGTACCGGCATGGGAAATGGGGACGGCTTTCAGGAAAGCCATGGTCTATGCTTCCAGACGATGATTGATTGTGTCAGTGTCCTCGTCTGCTTGTTGAAAGAAATTAATAAAGTGCTGCCTCGTACATCCTCGCAGAGCACCGTAGTCGTAGAACAGCGAGGCAGCTGGAAAGACCCACTGACACAATATCCGAGCTCATATGACCGTAGGAGGTCAGTGCGAATGAAGAGAATGGCCCTGTAGAGAGCAGGTAGTTCCCGGGACACCGATCAGCATGTTGTCCGGAGAAGCTTAATCTAATAAAGCCGTGAACGGTGCTTTGTATCCTCCACAGATCCTCCTATCTAGTAATCTCGAGGTCAAGCGGCCAGTCGTTCGCTTCCACCTTGAACAAGACCGATATATCTAACGTCAAGTATATGCCAGTGTCAATCCATCGTCCAGGAATCGAACCGCTCACATGGTCCTTTCGCCACTCATCATCTGAGCTCTCTCGATACCATAGCGGTTAGGAAATTCCTCCAATTTGCCGACGAGAAGGGCCAGGAGCATTACGGCGAAGTTCCAGGAAACCTGCCTTTCAGCAAATGGGTTGGATCTCAAGTTTCAGTCTTATCCGGAGATCCATGCACAGGTTTAAGAGTGACAGACACGGAAGGCTCGCCGACAAGGTAAGTACTGTGCGGAAGAAGACGCCTCCTTTAGCCCGTCTGGTCGCTTTTCAGCCAACAACCCACTCCACCAAAGGTATTGTGCCTTAATGCCACCACTCCTTGGGTCCTCTGTATCGGGCTCAACTACCACAGTCACTCGATGGAGGCAAAGGTACTTGGGCTCTTTCACGATTTGTTTCCCCCAGCCCAGGACACCCATGTACTGAGCAAGGGCATTTGTAGATGGTTCCGGCAAAAGTCCCTGTCCGATTCATGAAACCTGCGGATGCCGCCGTGGGAGTCTTTAGACAACGCCATCTACGCGCCTCCAATCACGCAGAAAACGCTCGACTATGAAGGCGAGCTCTGTGTCGTACTGGGCCGCGATGCAGAGGATGTCTCGGACGGGGAAGCGCTTGATTACGTGCTGGGATACACCGCGGGCAACGATGTGTCTGCGAGGACTTTCCAAGCGCCAGAGTTGAGTGGCTACCAATTCTCCTTTGCAAAGTCGTTTGACGGATTCGCGCCCATGGGGCCCTGCATCGCGACCAAGGTGGCCATCCCAGACCCTCAGAATATATCTTTCGTCACCAGAGTGAATGGGGCGGTGCGACAGTGGTCCAACACGAGCAACATGATTTTTAACGGCCGTCAAGTTGTGGCTCATCTCTCCCAAGGCACACCTTGCGCAAAGGACCCGTCATCATGACCGAAACCCCGTCGGGGGTGGGACATTTTATGAATCTGAAAGGGTATATTGCTGACGGGGACGTTGTTGAGGTAGACTTTGAAGCCACCGGTGCAATTGCCAACACGTTCAAATTTTAGACAATTATACTTACAAGGCAACAGAAAAACTCCTGTCTTCAGACCGTGATTGAAGAGCCTTTGACACCCGTCAAGCGATATGCTTGAGATGCCAGGGGTCGTTCTATCTTACACAGATTGAAATAGAGGCAATGTCCTCAGTTGTTGGTGAAACGGACACAAGTGCCGTATACTACTCTGTCACTGTTCCCGAGCCTCAGGACTCCGAGTGTCTTCGGCTCGGTTGCCTAGTACCTCTCTCCACCAGTCCGCGCAGTCAACCGAGCCGAGGGTCTGAGGCACTGAGACAAGCTGGCTTAAGCCGAAGGGCTTCTTATATCTTGCGCTGTAGCACCACAGTAGGCATTCCTCTAAAGCGGCAGCGACTGAGGTGACCGTTAATCATCGTTCCAGCGCCCGCGCCGAGACTCTACATAGGTCTCTATTGGCACCAACGACAGGTGAAACACGTGAGCCAGACACAGGTGGTCCCTCACCCGACTCGCTCTGGCTCTCACGAGCCCGGGGTGACCACAGGGCGGCATCCCAGGGGTCATTGCGCCGGCAATTTCCCAACCCTCAGCAGCGAAATAGTAAAGAGCTGTCGCAACGGAGGTGCTCGAACACTCATCACCACAAGACATTAATTGATGTAATGCTAAAACACTCAGAAACGAACTTTTGCAGTCTATTGACGATACACATTCATCAAGCCAGGCATGAGGCGGGAAGTTGGCCATCCGTCACTTCCCAACAGCCATCTCTTTCGATGCCTCGGAGGTGTGTTCTCGACTTCGATGAAAATATTGACGCCTTCCAAATCGTCCGACTCCCAGATTACCCCGGATCCTAGCAATACCAGAGATGGGCAATGCCTCCTTCAGTCCTCCTTTGCCCGAACCACGCACACAAGGGAAAAATACTAGTTGGAAGCGCGTTACAATATTCATCAGTCCGAAGAGCCGAAAGAAATGGCAACTTCGACATAGAATAGGAGATTCGAGCCGTCACTGTGCCAAGCGAGCGGCAAGCTCTTGATGCCATCTAGATTCGATGTTTCTCGCTCTCTGTTCATGCGGTCAGTTTGCACATCAAACCAGGGTTAAATGTAGCGGCCAAGAACTTACCCAATCTCGAATAAAGCATGTACAATGCCATTTGATTGCATTCTGGGGTTCCGGTGATGGTGACCAATCTTTCATTACTGTTGTCCTGTGGCTCATTGATCTTGATGACACTTCCACTGAGATGCCGAATCTCATTGATTTTGGCACCACCTTTGCCTATGATTGCCCCGACCATATCGTTGGGAATGAAGATCTGCTGCGTGATTGGCTGCCCTGGCATCGCGTGCGCTGGCTGGGCAGGTTGCCCGTGAGCAGCAGGTTGAGGTGGCATTTGGCCGTATGCCGCTGCTTGCTGTGGGCCGACTCCATAGCTTGGAGTCCGTGGCGTCGCTGCGTATGGCTGAGGAAACTGAGGATATGGCTGTTGAGGAGTCCCATGCATCTGCGGTGCGCCAAAAGGCTGAGGAGGGATTCGTTGCGGTGGATGCGTGTTGTGCCTCTTGTACATGTCTGGGTGACCGTATTGACCGCCGGCTGGCTGAGGAACGTATGGCACAACCTGCATGCCGCCCGGTACGACTCCTGCTGGGCCGCCACTTCTGGTGGCATAAGCGGATGCGGCAGGGCCACCAAAACGTTCCGTCAATTGCTCAACCAATGTAACCGCAATATAGTACGTGGCAATGTGAACGGCATCGGCAACGCCCAGAACAACAAGAGAGCGCTCGGTGGAAAGAGGCAGGCACGAATCCGAAGCATTTAGGCGAGCTCCCGAGGCTTCTTGGATTTCTCGAATGCGCACACCGGATTTTCCAATGATGGAGCCGATCAGAATATGCGGGATTAGGAGTCGTAATGGATAAGTCTTGGATTGGGCAGTTGATGCAGCTTCGAGAGGCTCGTTGTTGAGAGTGCGAATAATAAGGCCGAAAGCCTTTGCGACGGCATCTTGAGCACCACTAACAGTCAAGATGCGCTCGACTGCGCCGCGCGAATAATCGCTCACGGTACACTTGGCACCAGAGAGTCTTCGAATTTGAGTGACATTCTCGCCACCTTTGCCGATACAGGTTGCAGCTTCCGCGCTGGAAATGACTGCACGAATATGAATCCAGTTTGTCTCGTCCTGCGGCGGCATCGACGGTGGCTGAGACGTGGCTCGATCGGTCTGGGAAGTAGATGTCTGCGGCTGTGTCTCTGGCGAGGGAACGACTGGTGCTCCCTTGGTTCCCACTGCTGTCGCGCCTTCAACACGTGGCTCTGTCGCTCCGTTTGTGACAGGCGTCGGCAGTGGATGCTTTTCAGTCGATTTTGTGCCTTCGACAGATTCGCTGCTAGCGATAGCTGACCCTTCAGCTGCTGCATCTTCTCTAACCACCTTGTCTAGAGCCGGGCGTTTCGCATCTGGTAAGTCAGTCGGGGCAGAAGGGGAAGAGGGGTCTTCCAGAGGCCGCTTCGCTGAGGACATGGCGTGGGAGGTAGGTGAGGCAGACATGGTGCTTATTTCGAGGGATTACCCAGGGAGGGAGTGTTTGATCAAAATTCTTGTTATTATTGTTCTTTGAGATATTTTTTTATGTACACCAAGGGGCGGTCGAAGGAAAACTTGCTGGTTTGGGGAAGAGGATCGAACTGCGGACGCGAGAGCGAAACGCCAGGGATAAAAGTGTGCGAGCGAAAGAGGAGGATTTTAGATTCGTGCTGGGGTTGGCTGTGAACTTGAGGGATATGGTGCGTGCTCTGCAATGGCTCGATGAGGTGCAAGAAAGGACTTGAGGAGGTGAAACTGAGGGCGGAGATGCGAGATGTTCAACGGAGGAGTCGTAGAGGATGAAGACAATGACGGTGATGGTGATGGTGATGAGAAGGTGTAGGTGGAGGTGGATTTGAGTAAAGCAACGCCTTTGAGGATGGTCTTGATCCCCCCTGTCCTTCCCGTATCTAGCAGGAGAAGGGTGAATCTGTACTTAACTCAAACGCCCAAGATCGTTGGAGGAAGGACGAGACAGAATGAGACGCAGGTTTGGAGATCGGGCTGATGGGCAAGGAGACCTTTGGCAGATGGCGCAGCGCGAAAGGGAGGAGCTTGAAAAGGCAGCGCAGGTAGAGACTGTAAGAAAATTCAGCTGTAGAAGGTCGGGGGAGGCAGCGCGGCGCAGAAATGTGAAAAGATGGGGGAAAGGTGTCTTCGAAGAGGAAGAGCCTAAGGGTGAGAGGAGATGGTCGAGGGTTGAGGTTGAAGTGATCAAGAGTGATCTAGGGACGATTCGACACCTCCTTAAGATGCAAAAGTTGCACGCTTGACCAGAAAGATGGGGGCGATGCGATGGCGTGTCTGGGGGCAAGCGAGTTTGGAAGGAACGAATTTTGGAGGCACCATGGCATCGGGGAGGGGAAGTTTGATTGCGTGCCAAGCCACAATTCATGTGACTAGGTCACGTGGTATGGATTGCTGTTGCCTCGCCAAGGATTTGGGCACCAGCCAACACGGCCTCGACGGCTTCCCTCAATTCTTCGCTGCTATCTCCTACAAAAGCCAAGAAGCAATCCCTGTGTCATTCCCAAGACGGCAAGACAATCCTAGCACCGATTCCCCAGCCTTCTAATGTCACATAAGTATCAGGACAGAGTCCTCGCTGGTTGATTCATCTCTCGATCGCCTTTACAATTCCCTTTTGTTTCTCTTCCAGGACTTCCTTCAACATGCTCGCAACTTCTTTGCGACGGCGCGCCTTGGCCTGCCATCGTTGCTTGTCTTCTACTGATATCATGGCCAACCCCCCATTCTGACTTGTCCTGAAACCGCGCACGGAACGGGTGCTGCTACCGAATTTGGAGTCTGGTGTATGGTAAATACTGCCCGCACTCCCCGGCGTAGCCACGTTCATCGACTGTCGGGTACGTGGGGGAGTGCTAGGAGGCCCAGCGGACATGTCACCATTGCTGATCACAGATGTTGCCGCAGACACATTCATCTTTTTGAGCTGCGCCTCAAGCACGTCAATATCTGCACTCTTCTGCTCCGCCATAGCCATCATCTTTTCCACAGTCTTGGTCACAGCTTCCACAGTTGGCTTTTTTCGTGACGATGCTCGTCCTGGAGCACCTCTTGGTTGGCTTGAACCACCGGTGGGCGCTGACTGGGCGAGCTTTGCACGAAGAACGGATATCCCATCTTCAACCTGGACTAATTGTGTTTGTACACAAGTGAACGTCTTGCGAAGGTCATGCTGGATAGACGTCTGCTCGGCAGAAAGAGGAGCGCTCACCGTGCTATCTGGAGTCGACAGACTGTGCAAGGTCTTTCGTACAGACATGACCTTATTCCTCAAGTCACACACCTCACGCTTCATGAGCGCTTGGGCCTCTTCAAATTTCTCAATGAAGTCACCAATATGGCAGTCTGCAAGCATATCTGCAAGCACGGCTTGTCCTTCATGCAATCTTGCAATATCAGTCAACAGAAGCTCATCATTCAAGGCATCCAGCGGTGTCTCCGATTTAAGCACCGCTGGCCATGACTGATTGGTTGCTTCGGGTTGCTGGTATTGCAGGAATGCTGTTAGCGACCGACAGTTGATTCCCAAGGTATACACCATCGAATTGATATCCGAGTAGAGCCGCTCAATCTGTGCCGGTATGCCGTGCTTGTGAGTTTCTTCGCGAGGCCGGGGTTGATATGTAACAAAATCGTCCAGCGTTTCTGATGGCGTTATTGGCTGCTCCAGCTCCTGGCGCAACCTCTCATCCTCGTCATCCTCTAGTGGTGCGAGCTCCTCAGCTTCCGCTTGCGCCTTTTCCCGTGCGATGGCCTCGCGGCGAGCTTTCTCTTTGGCTGCCTCTTCCTCTCTCGTCCTCGCTGCCTGGGCGGCCAGCCCGGATTTCTGATGTTGGGCCTTCCGTTGGTCAATGATGGACCGAGGGTGCGCCGGAGCACTAACCGACCTAGAGGTATCTGCTCGAAGCCCATCAATTGAGAAGGCATGTCTTACGGGGCTAGGAGATCGTGGACTTTCTTGTGGCTTGGGTGGTGGGAAAACAGGCCCTGCGCCTACCTCACCAAACAATGGTCTGGCAGGCTTCGGTGCCATGGAGGCTGAGGTAATCTTGGTAAACAATCCACCTGTAGGACTTGTTTCTGGACTCCTATCACCACTTTTGAATGAACTTTCCGGCGAAGTCTGTAATTGCTCTATTTGTTCCTCGGCGACGTCTTCCTCCGGACTCTCTTCTTCGATTTCTTCCGCATCTTGCTCAAATTCGGAGCTGAAATCGTCTTCGCTTTCATCTGGTAGTTCTTGATTAGCCTCCTCCGGTTGGCCTGCTCTGGGCACGGGGAGAAAACCGCCTGGCAGAGATGTGTCGCCCGGCGGTGTTTTGGATACGTTCGACGATACAGAAGTTTCGCCCGATACATATCGTGGCTTACTGACAGTATCAGGAGGTAGGGGTGCCTCGGGAATAGTTTTGACTTCAACAGACTCGTCCTCACTCGCAATATCCTTCTTGATCTCTGGAAGTGGTCCAACAGACTCGAAATTTGGTGCTGGTACGCTCTTTTGTACGACAGCAGGAGTTTCTTGGGGTGTAGGTTTGGTGCCGAACATGGCCATATGAGAGGGTTTCGGCGTCTCTTTGGGAGTTGTGGAGGAGAAACCGTTGAAAGACCATCCTGGGGCGGTATTTTGAGATGGTGGAGTTGTGGAATCAATCTGTGGCTGGCCAAATATGGTGGAAACAGCCGGCGCAGACGTAGTTTTGGGTTGTGTGAGAGTGGACGGAGGCGTAACCAGCGTCTGAGGAGGTTTTGCTGAGGTCTGTGGAGAGAATCCGCCGAAAGATGTCGCCTGGATTCTGTCGGATTCAGCCTCACTTTCCTCACCCATCTCCTCCTCCTTGTCGTGAGTGGGCGACAGTGCGGGCTTTGTTTCGCTTAGCATATCACCAAACGAAGATCCGAAACTAAAACCACCCCCTTCTTTGAGCGGCGGTAAGTCATCTTTCGCAGTTCCATCTCCTCGAAACGATGATTGTAATTTGAAAGCAGTAGCTGATCCAAAAGAGCTGAGGGATTCACCGGGTTTCTTTGTTGCAAAAGGAGATTCTTGGGGTTTGTTAGAGCTGAATATGGTTCCCGATGCTTGCGCAAAGGGACTCGTGCCACTCGCTTTGCCGAAAGGACTCTGGCTGGGTTGCGCTGATGTACCTCCTGCAAAAGAAGCAAAGCCCCCCCCCTTCGAGAATGAGGCAAAGCCTGAGCTGGTGGTATCAACCCCTGCTTTCCCAAAAGGACTAGTGGTGGAACCGGCACCAAAAGCAGAAGTCTGACCAAATGCAGGAGTCCCTCCAATTGTCGAAGGTTGTCCAAAAGCTGAAGATCGACTTCCTAGGGCACTTGCTGACCCAAATGACGGAGCATTAATCCCTCCCATAGGTGTGGCCGCACCGAATGCAGGCTGGCCGAAGGCCGGTGACGATGTAGCCCCTGGAGTAGGGCCAAATCCCGTACTAGCCCAGGAAGGCTTTTCGGATGTGATTGGTGACGAGGCTCCAAATGGTTTGGCAGGAGGGCCACCAAAGGCAGATGGAGCTGCTGACATGCCGAAGCCTCCGCCTGCCGCCTTCACGAAAGCACCAGTAGCAGGTGGTTCACCAGACGTGGGAGCAGCGGCCGTAGGAGGCGGTGACGGCGGTCGAATAGCGGGTGCTGGGCCTTCCTTTGCAGCTTGCACAGATGCAAAGCCGGAGAAGATGGTCTTTTCTCGGACTGAGTCGTTGTAGATGATCCACCAGCCCACCAGAGTGCCTTCGTTGTTCAATATGAACAAGCACGGTACAGGCCCAGCGGTCTCCTCAATTTCTGGGTCCGATGGGATTGGGTTTGGAACCTTTTCGGAACTGGAGAAGTCCACAACCATACCGATGGGAGAGGTATCCTCCATCGCTGGAGAAAGGGGAAGTTGGGCGCGCCTCGTATCATCTTCGATTGTGGTGAAGGTAAAGGCGGAAGTGACTGGGTCTTCCTGAGATAAAGGCTTATCCGACTTTGAGATGAGTCCAACGTCTGTAGCGGTCGTAGCAGACACGATCAACAAGTCTTGGATATGGGGTGGAAAATTCCTCAGTCTCGAGATGAAGTGAAAAGCAGGTTGTCTGGCCACTCCGAATGGTGGCAGAATCTCCGGAAGTTTCTGAAACGTGTAATTTGTTGTTTTAGGCTCCCTCTGCACGATGTAGTACTCTGACGGTGGCATCTCATCGCTTGTGCTGTTGGGTGTGTAGATGATGAAGAAGGTATCGTTCTCGAGCCATGAGATGCCGGAGACATGCGAGTCCGCAGGGATACTTGTCGACTTGGGAATACTTGCAACAACAGTACCATCTGGTTTCATCTGAATCGCCGTTCCGTCTGCCATGCCCGCAACTAACTGCTTGCCTCTATTACTCCATGACAAACAACTTGCACCCCTCTTTAGCACGTTGCCCTCGCCACCAGATTTTATTGCTCCGGCTTTTAAGTCAAGCAGCATCAGATCCCCATTTGCGGTGATGACGGCAAACATTTCGGCCGATTCGACAACTGGATTTGGTGCCACAATTCGGAGGTTCTGGCCATCAGTTGAGATCTCTAAGGCGGGGTTCATACTGCCTTTTTGCAAGCTTTCAGCCTGAAAGGCTACGATTCCACCCGTTGAGGGTGAGATGACGAGGACGCTCTCATCACAGGAAAATGCGACGTGAGAGACTCGTGGATATGGCAACTTTATCTCAGGTTGAAAAGGCCTTGTCTGGGTCTTCTCAGGTTGTGGAGACTGAAATGCTTCCCGGATCTTGGTTGTAGAGGAAATATAGACAGCGTCCGGCCCTGCAGCAGCTAGCAAGCCTCTGGCGGCTGCGACACTGAGCATCGATGACGAGGGAGGAGGGAGATTATCCGAAGGCCATGGTGTTGGGAGGAGCTGAACTCTTGACTCGCCATTAAGGGCGGCAAAACCCAATTCGTTTGTCTGAATCTCCTGCAATTCTGCTCCATCTTTGACGTTCACACCAGAAGATCCGACACCTGAGCCAGTCGACATGGCATTCGAAAAACTGAACGCCATCCTTAGTCGCGGGAGCTCGGCCGACAGCGACCGTCTTGCGTAAGTGGGTGAGAGAGGGGATGAGACATGCGTGTTCGATAGACCTCGTCGTGGGCTCGGTGTTGAGAAGGTAAAAGAATGTCGCAGGAGTGCACTAGGCCTCCAGAACGATGGGGTTTTCTTGGGGTCAGCAATTTTGAGGGACAGTCATAGAGAGCTAGGCAACAAAGAAAATCTGCATCCCCTTCTGATGGCGTAAACAGGCAGTGGCCAACTTTCTATCAGCGACATGCCTGCGGAAGCCAAAATATGAAAAGTCGCGACTGCGGCATTGCGGTATCGCGTTCGCCTGTGGCACCGTAGCCTACGGTGAATCAGAACTCAGGGCAACGTCGCCGATTGCCCAGCGAGCCCAGGTCGCCAGGTCGCCCAGTCGCCAGATTGCCCAGGCTTGCCCAGGCTTATCAACAAGGAGTTTGCCAGCGTTCTTCGGCAACCATCCTCCGTACGAGGTACCTTGCATCGACACCTCCCATCGCTGGTCGCCTTCGAGCGCGCATCTTCCGGCAGGTGTCCGAGGACTTGATCACGGAAACCCTGTTCATCGCAACAAATCGAATGAATTAGGAGCACAAGTCATTTTCCGCGAAACACAACCTTCAGCTCGATCTCTTTCGACATCTAGCTGCAATGAACAAAATTGTGGATGACAGAATAGCAGCGAGGCACCTGGGCTGGTTCTTGCGAGTCTATCTCAGCATGTCTTGCAAATTTGGTTCCCTTTGCTCACCCCTCTGGGAAGGCTTACAGTATCCAGGCGGGTAACGAGCACACCCTGATCTATCGAACTCCCTCCAACAAACTTCTGCCCATCAGAATGGAGAATGTATTCCAACTCGCAATTTCTGACTCAGACACTTTTTGGCTTCCATGGCACGAACAAGTTCATTGTCTCAAAGAGTCATCAAGCGATTGGAAGCTACGGTGTCGATTCCCACTCGCTTTGTTCGTGGCGCCACTTTGGCCTGAACTATAAACTTTGTGGATTCTCGAGAGACAGACTCGAAAAGAATTCGAGAGTCACAAGGATGCTCCATGTTCACAGCGCAGCCCGGACGTAAGGACGTTCTGCGCGGAACCGTCAAGGTGGGTTTCCCTTGAACATCTACCTGCATGGACTAACTCTCTATGCAGGGGCTTCTTTCACGAGTTGGCCTACACGTGGCGCAAGCGTCAACTCAAATTGAGTGGGTGGTTGCTGTTCATCAGATCATACCCAGTAGATGGGACAACTCCCAGTCACAATTTCCGCCGGAAGCGGAATTGTCGTCCAATCCATCAGTCATACTTCCATAGAAAGAGGCCCTTTCTCTACGGCACGATTATCTAACCGAGGATAAACACACCCGCATGAAAGTCAAACACCCCCTATATCTATCTTAGCTCGGTCACTATCAGGATGCTGATGGTCAACCATTCGTCTCCAGGGAAAACCTCTGTGGGTTATTGTCGGATCCTAACTATTTCGAGATGTTGACCTCGGTGAATCCCCGCAAACCCGGGGGATTCGAGACCTGATCGACTCCCCCGCACATTCTCCGGCCCAAGCCCGAGGGTGAAATTTGAGGCAAGATCCGGTATCCATCGCATCCATGAGCCTGGTTCTCGCTTCTCTCCTCGTCGCCACTTTTTCTTTCTCGAGTTTAGACGATTCAAGTGACCTGACTTGCGGGCTTTCTCAAGGTCTAGCCCGGCTACTTCCCAAAGTTCGACCAAGAAGGCCTATTATGATATCCAATCAAATACTAAACGGTTCCTCAACAGGACTAGACGCCTCCTGTTTCGTGACAAACGGTTTGTGACTATTTCTCGTAACTCGGAGACCAGCTCAGTCCACTCAGATATCGTCTGGCTTGTCCTGAAATTCGGAGCTTGCCATCAGCGCGCCTGAGGCGGTGATATATAAAGCTCCCCTGTAGGCCGGGATCATGCCCGTTGGCTCTCCGTTTTCCTTTCTCTTATGGTCTGAAGAACCTTTTCCGCAGCAGAATCTCACAGCCTCGCACTGTAAAAGGTGGATTCACGCGTTTGAGCAGCCTTTTCTCCCACAATGGGGAAACTCATCCCAAATGCCTTTAACTTGGCGGTTGTGATCTTCGTCGCGCTGGGTTCGACGGCATGTTCTTATGGAATGGCCATTATCGGGTAGGGACACGCTCCCTTGATTGTTAAAGAGTCACAGAACTAACACAAAGCCAGCTCCACCATAGGACAACCCAGCTTCTACAAATCTCTCCACCTCGCTCCACAGGGAGAGCCCGGCTACAGTCGCACTACCCAATATATTGGTGCTTTCAACGGTACAGCACTCTCTCGCAGTGACAAGGAGCGTTCTAATATCCCATTTGCCTAGGTGTCAACTCTGCGGGATCCGCCATCGGGGCAGCGGCCTGTGCCTATTGTGCTGATAAATGGAGCCGTAAACACACTATTCAAGTAGCGGCAATGATCCTTGTTGTTGGGGCTGCTATTTGCGCTGGCTCGGTGGACAATGCTATGTTCATGGTCGGTCGTGTCGTCAATGGCTTGGGTGTAAGTCTCGGAGAGTTCTGTAACGGCAGTGCAACAGCTTTCACGATCCTCACCGCATTTCAATAACGCATGACAGTGCTGACCAAAGTCTAGATCGGTGCTTTGGTGACGGCTATTCCCATGTACCAGGCAGAGGTGTCAACACCAGAAAGTCGCGGCTTCATGGTGTCAATGCATGTAGGTTTTGTCGAATAACGTTGTATACTGCTTTCCAGCTACTGACCATTTACAGGGAGTTATGTTCGCAATGGGTTACACCCTTTCCGCCTTCATCGGATTTGGAGTCTACTTCATTTCAGCCAGCGGATCGAACTCCTCATTCCCTTGGCGGTTTCCTATTGCCTTCCAGATGGTCCCCGCTCTTCTCCTGCTTGCGGGCTCTCCCTGGCTCCCATACAGTCCCCGTTGGCTCATGATGCACGGGCGCTACGACGAAGCTCATGAAGTGATCAAGCGTCTCCACAGGTCAAAGGATGACCCGCATGACTCTCTTGCCCGCAAAGAGTACTATCAAATGAAGAAGCAAGTTGAGTTGGACCAATCAATCAAAGCCACCACTTCGAAATGGGAAGTGTTCAAGACAAAACCAAATCGTAGACGCGCTCTTGTGGGCTTCTTGCTCATGTGGAACAATCAATTCACGGGTGTCTTGATTATCGCAAACTACGGAGTTATCCTTTACACCAGTCTCGGGATGACAGGCTTTTGGCCACTGCTGCTCAGTGCCTTATGGGTCTTGTCCACAGTAAGTTTCCCTTTCAGAGGAGCTGGTTGTCATCGGACAGCCTCTCAATATCGGCACATGCTAACGACCATTGACAGTTCCCTGGGAATATCTTCTGTGCTTTCTTCGTCGAAAAATTCGGCCGACGGAGGTTCATGCTCATCGGACTGAGTGGTATTCTTGTCAGTTTGATTTGTGAAATTGCCATCCAAGCAACCTACTTAGGTACCACCAACACTGTGGCTTTGGATTTTGGAATCTTCTTCATATTCTTGGTGGGTGCCTTCCTCTCTGGTCCCTTGATGTGAAATAACCCCGAATCCCGAATTTACCCAACCCGCAATCGCCATCGCTCGCTTTATCTTGCTGACCCCTGATTTATAGTTCATCACACCTTTTTGGTCGACTTTCATGGATGCCAGTCAATTTCTCTATGTGTAAGTCCAGTCAAGTATCGAAAGGCGCTTTCAGCTTTGGCCACTAACGGGAGGTGACAGATCTGAAATATTCCCAACACATATCCGCAGCCAGGGCATGGCTGTCGCTATGTGCGGTCTCTATCTTTCCGATATCATCCTGCTCGTTGCCGGCCCGATCGCTCTGAACAACATTGGCTGGAAATTCTTCCTGGTTTTGATCATCCCTACCGCTCTCCACATTCTCTTCGTCTACTTTATGTGCCCTGAGACCAAGGGCCGAAGCTTGGTATGCTCCATCAATAATTGGTTGCATCCTTGCCTATTGACTGACACGCATTCTAGGAAGATATCAATGCCCAATTTGGCGAGCAAGTTGCTATCCACTACTATGGCGCCACCGATGCCGAGAAGGAAGAGATGGAGAAAGCGGCACAGCAAGACGAAGAAGATGAGCTTCGCAAGCGCGGCCCTAGCACTGAGAAAGCCACGGGTGTGCACGAGGAGGAGCTTGTGGGACCCAAGGTCTAACTGGTCTGGATAAGCTGGGTTTGGCCTATTGGTACACCTTACGTGCATACTAGGTAACTTCTCGCTGTCTGGTCCAATCGTATCCTAGATAGACAGCAAGCGCCAACGTATGATACAATCGTAACCCTAATCTGGCTCCCCTAGCTAAGGGAAGGAAACTGATCCAAATTGTTGTTGCCCAGGAGAATGCAAGGCTGTGCAAGGCCGTTTGGTGTTTGGCTGAAAAGGGCTAGTTTGTGTGGCCTCGTTAAACCGGCGGGTGCTCGCGTTGCCGCGTCTTCCCCCAAGCACGGTGTATTGCGCATCACGAAAGCTGCCTTCAGGTTCGCTCCAAGCCAACCGTCAATTGTCCCTCCAAGCTCGTCCCTCGCATACTACATTTCTCTGCTTCTACACTCCGACCGCACCTCATAACTTCAGCATTGAACCTTCCTGCCGGCGTTAACCGGTGGATATTCAACCCAAGCCGACTCATTGCTCTCTTACCAAGCGTTATCCCAAGTCAAGGCTCTGTGCCTTCGCCGCAAGCATGCCGGGCTTCGACTTTAGCAACTACAATCGCAACGCAGCCTTACACGCACGGGGTGTCCCATTACCAAAGGCAACTAGTACAGGGACAACCATCGTGGGATGCATATTCGACAATGGTGTGGTGGTACGCGAACAATCCGCATCCTACCATCTCCAGATCAGATTTGAGCGTGGCTGACCAGCTGGATAGATTGCTGCAGACACGAGAGCAACCAGCGGACCTATAG